TGAGGTGTGGGTGGGTGTGAGGTGTGGGTGGGTGTGGGGTGTGAGTGTAGATGGTATGGGGTGTGGCGGTGGGTGGGTGTGCGTGGATGTGGGTGGGTGTGGATGTGGTGTATAACTGAAAGATTCGTGTACATCGACCCCACCGACAACCACATCCACCCACATCCACATCCACACCCACACCTATGGGTACCTCCATAGGATAGCCCTAGAGGACCTATAGGTACTCTCTTAGGATAGCCCTTGAGCACCTATGGATACTCTCATAGAATAGCTCCGGAGGACCTATGGGTCCTCATATAATAGCCATTGGGTCTCCTCCTTATAGCTTTATTTGATCTTCAACCTTTCACCTGGTAGAGAAACACACAGACACTGAACATTATATATAGATGCAGCTAAATAAGCTCTACCAAATGAAAAACCGTTTAAAAATATTGATGCAAAAGCCAACATTCATTGTTTTTTTTTTATTTCAAAAATAGAACAGAGGATCTTAAAATTGATAAGAAAAATCTATTTATCGTCAGTTCATTCCATTGCTCGATGGAATCGCGGCGAAATCATGCAATATTGTGTCCCTCACCCTGCCGTGTTGCTTTCGCCATATCGCTTGTTGCAGTTTTATTCAAATATCGGTGCATAATTGGAACATAATGTTCCGCATCGCTCGTCGTGTTCTGCACGCTTTCCAGTGCATTAACAGCTTCTACCCAGCGATGCCATTGTTGCCAGATTTCACCATCCTTTGGTACGGAAAAACCTCGATGACGTTGAACGGCAACGTATTGTCTTTGGATGAATGGCATTAGTGCAATATCAGCCATGCCGAACTGTTCACCGGTGAAATAGAGGTCTTTCAGTTATTCAGCAAACTGATAGAGGGCTCTTTCCAAGTCTCTTTTGGCTTCGTTCTGGTCATTTTCTACTTGAGCTTGGATGAGCCGAAAGAAACCAGGCACAATCTTCTTCTAGATGTGATCGATCCACATGCGTAAGCGAGCTCTGTTGACAGGATCTGCTGGCAGTAACGGTGTTGATTGTGGGAAAGCATCTTCTAAGTATTCCATGAGTACAATGCTTTCGTACAAAGGAGTACCGTTCTCGACGACGAAAGCAGGTACAAGTCCACGAGGATTGACCTTTAAGAACGATTCTTCCTTTTTGTACGGGTTGATTTCATGGTACTGATAAGGTACTTTTTTCTCTTCGAGAGTAATCCATACCCGCTGAAAAAATGGACAGAACCATGCAGTAAAGAGTTGGATGGGAGCAGGCTCTTGATGTTTCGCCACTAAGTCAGCTGCCTTTCCAGTTGCAACCGGATATACCTGCTCGTCTGGTATTGATGACACGTTGTCGAATTCTGATAAGAATATCTAGAAACTACGTAAGGGATATAATGATATCTTTCATTGAGATTCGAAGTAAAGTTCTGCAGCCGTACCCTACCCTAGGGTAGGGCTAGGATACGATCTCGGTAAGGCAGAATAGAGCCAGGGTAAGATCCCCGAACGGTAGAGTAGGATAACCAAATTCAAACCCTAGCAGAACTATATTGATGAGTTTGAGGAACTTGTCTTTTTCACTATCGTGAACATTCAATTTTTTAATGGAATTTTAATTTTTTCAAGTACAATTTTAGAGTCGGTTAGTTTTTTATTTAGAATTTTCTTTGATTTCTTAGAGTTCTTGTAAGATAGTCTTTAGATTTTTCGATCAAAGTTTTTCATAATTAAGTTTTCTTAAGTATACTTTACTTTACTTCTATTTTATTTAGAATTTGTTGCTTGCTTGTGAACAATGTAAAGCTCTGTTATCTTACCTGTTATATTCACAAGAATACTACCAAGTGTGTTCGAAAGTCAAATAGCCTGAAAGAAAACAGAAAAAGTGGAATTTATCAGTGATATATTATTCAAGTCTAACTACAGCGACCAATGAATAAGCCAAGAGTTCGATTTTACTTTACATATACCGATGATAATAAAGTCGAAAATAATTCTTCTATTTAAAATGTACGCAATTGATTAAACGAAAGAAAAATGTTCTAATGCAGTTGAGACACTTTTATAGAAGTTTGCCCTAGAGATTGATATCCTTCGTGATATCGTCGCCCTCTGATAACAAAAGCTGTAGAAACATGCGATACGATGGAGAAGGATAGTGCAAGTTATATACTAAGATGAGATTTATTTTTTCTTCTCTTACTCATTTTATTTTTCTTCTGTTATTGTAAGAAGGCGAGCGCCTATCATTTTATAAAGCACAAGGCAGAAAGCTATGCCTGACTTGAAAGTATTTCTTGGATCTGGTCCTCTAATTCTAACATAGATAAGGAAAAGAATGATCATAGCATTCAGTATGCATGCAGCACTCATTACAATGGGACGAGCTGACTAATTGTCACTGTAAGTTGAATGATAACAAAAAAGAAATTCAGATTCTCGTATCTTCAAATCAGAGATTCTGCTGTCTACTAACAAGTTTTTATCAAGGTTATGGCAATGGGAGTTATTCTTCCCCAAAAAGATTAGTCGTCGATCTGAATAGTACGTCAATTGATGGAAATGAACCATGAAAGAAACGAACAGACATTGTGAAAAAGCAATAAAAAAAGACGGGAATAGGTACTTATAGGTTTTTTGCCCCATACGAATGTATGACTAAATATGGCAAGAACAACTAGTGCATGTCGAAATTTATGTACATCTAATAAACGTTTCTGTTCAATGTGTACAACTTTTAGACAATACAATGACAGAGCGAATATTTTTTTTTGCATGCAAGTATTGCGATAAATCCATCATTATTAATTCCCACCATATGAATTTCATCGAGAGTGACCATCGAAGCAACGGATCAACGAAAGGTAAGAAACCATGATTAATATCAACGAAATACGATGCCAATAAACATAAAATATGACGATCGAATAGTTCATTCATTTGACTATTATCGATATTTTCATCTAGTAGCAAATGCTCCGATAAATGTGACAGTTTCGATCTATAACACGGTAGTAGAGTTTGATGTAATACTATATCTTTATGACGCTCATTATTGGCAATTTCCATCTCTATATTTTCAATATTGAAGAACACTTGACTAGAAATAGGAGATGCCAAATAATATGATGAGGCATTCTCAGTACATGATTGTATGCTTAAGCTGTAATTGCAAGGACGAATATTTTGTGTAGTTGCTTATCTTTACTCGTCCTACTGGCTGTTAAAATAAAGTGAATTTATATTTAGTACTTAGAGTATTGATTCAGAAGAAATTATAATATCACCTGGTAATGCACCACGCTATGTTGATTTGAAAGTAAACGGAACTGAAATCAAAAGATAACCATAAGATTTGTAAGAAACAAAGATTTTTTTGAAAAATCATCATTTTGTAAATTTTATAGAAGTGATAGCAGCAAAAGATGAATTGTAACAGGCACGTATTCAGAGAGAAAACTGGAGGATCAATCCCCTCCTTCTTGAAAATAAATATAGATGGGATGAAATAACGGTGGATGAATTTTCACAAGCGAAAAAATAACAGATTCGCCAGAACATATGGCAGTCTCAGTATCTCATCGATATCTATCGTATTTTTCATAATTTCGACCTGAAGTTTTAGTAAAAGATTCAGCGTTCACATTCTTTTTAAAATTGCTGACAACCCACGTACCATCAACATCAATTTTAATAAAAGTGGAAATATATAATTTCATCAACTTTCAAGAACGAAAATAGCTTTCTTGTCTTTAGACATTCTAACACCGATCTCGAGGAGTAAATCAAAGTACTCATTTCAGAGAGCGTTCAAAGTTCTATCTTACTGGTGTGTCTGAAAAGTATTGAAAAAAATTCAAAGAATAAAATAGGAAATACTTTTAAAAAAGCCTGCAAGAAAAAAAATCTTTAATCATATCTTTAATTTTGTTGAAAAAATTCATATTACTCTAATAGGTGTTATTCGATGCACGTTTTTCTTTATTTTCAACATACTCTATCATGTTATAGAAATCGACCTTGATTCTGAGCACACCTTAGTTCTGATCGAATAGATTAAGCAGAAAGCCGAAAAACCTCGATACGCATTAATTGTCCAAAACCTGGATGCTCTGTCAAGATCTTAAGTTGAGCTATTCTTTCTTAGATGCTATCAGATGAAGCGTTCATGGTTATGCCAAAGTTATCTGAGAAGACAAGCATTTTGGATTTTGTACTAATTTACAACAGAAAGGGAACTAACTATATCGCTTCTCGATCTGTGCTAATGTTGACTATTGTTTTCAAGAAGAAATCAAGTTTTTTGAGCACCTTTCTCAGGGAAATTTCAAATTTTTTAGATAAAATTTCTCATGAAATAAAATGAAGCAAAGGAGAGCAAAAAGGTCTTAAAAACTAGGAAAAACTGAATTTTTCGCAGCAATTTTTGTCATAATAGATACAGCTTACAGGTACAGTAGTTTCTTCCATTTTTATATAAAGTGAGTACAAGAAAAAAGACATATCTGTCTTTCACTTGACACTGTTGATAGTTGCTTAATGCTTAGAAAAAAAGCTAATTAATTGAAAACACAATTCTTTAAAAGTCGCTGACTGAGTATATTATCTAATATTTCAACAGATATTAATGGTGCCCGATCGTCTATGGTTGTGTAGAGAATTGAACGCTGAGTTTTTCGAAAGAAGTTCAGTTCGAATCTATGAAAGATTAGTGAGATGTTGAGAGTATATTGAGACGACTATTTATTTTGGCTCACCACTTTATTATCAACACGGCGATCCTGCCAACACCTCTTGAGAAAATTTCTGGATACATACCTTAATTGGAAGAAGTGTATGAACGACTTAATAATTCGACTAAAGACTAAGTAAATCGACGATCCGAAGTCAAATAATTTAGTCACTATATTAAAAAAAAGAGGCCTACTTTTCTTTTCTTTTTAGATTTAATTAGCGATGCTATCTGGTAAAAAATTATCAAAAGACAAATAAAACAATCTATGATATCCTTATTTGATTCGTAGAATAACTTTCACGTTGGATATCAAATGACTATATAAAGTTTTTTGTTCACCATTTCATCTGATACCTTTTATATTTCTAATTCTTGATTGTACTCTCTGTTCTTTTCTCACTTGAGCACTACACATAAATTAGTTATTAAACTAAATAAAACAGGCTGAAACTATTGTTTTCAACGATAGATAATGAAGAAGGTTTTTCTTTTTTTCGAAATTCTTTGTATATTTTCGCACGGATTAATTTTCTAAAAAAAAGAAACTAATTTTAGTCTGAAAATTTCTTCATTTGCTGTGATAGCAGTTGTGTAAACAAGAAGTTTCTATGCCAAAACACATCCTGACCGCTATAAGGAAGAAAAATGTAATAAGATCTACCATTGGTAGTAGATTACATGGCTTGTCCTCAAGATCGTAAACTACTGTCATAATGTTCACGAATTTCTGCTCATATATCTATCTGATGGTTTTCTAAAGTTAGGATGAATGAACGTTAATTAAGATCTGAAGAACTGTTATTTCGTTGTTTTATTTTTCATTTTGTTGTGAATGACTAGCAAGCTTGTCCAGAGATCATGTACTTGTATGTACTAAGAGTCAACCATAAATGTGAAGTCGTAAGTTTCTCAGGATACTTCTCTGAAAGGGTCTGAGTAGGCGTGGATGGGAATCAAAAGAAGACTAGGCATGTATTTAAGACATCAGGGTCGGTTTTTGTCCAAATGATAAATGAAATGCTCTTATAGATTAAGCTACGTCAAATCATATCTTTCCGCCTGTGAAAGATTCAAGCTTGAAATTGATAAAAGAGGCATTTCAACACTTATGTCAGAATGCATGCTACAGTCAATCAAAGACAATTAAAATCCAATGAATTCGCAGTAGTTTTCAATTTCGTTTCAATCACTTATTAGATTACACGCTTCATTTGATTGTTCTCCGTTTGCTTTCGAAAGATAGCACTTTTTCTCTACCGCCAATGCGACGATTCATGCATATAGTTCATAATTAATGAGATAGGAAGTTCGAATTATAAAAATTCTACTCCTGAACTCGAGTGGATGTCTAGAATACATTAATACTCACACTCACATCCTCCCTTAACCTGTCATTGGTCATCAGCTATCATTTTCAATCGTGTTTCATACTTCCTTTGGATTTCCAGCATTAAGAGGATCATTTTAATTTATCTGGCAGAAAACATTCAGCGAGTTAAGTATTATATTTTAAAAAAAGGTTATGTGCACAAAAACAATAGTTGTGTTCTTTTATTGACGATAATCTATGCTACCTTTTATAATTGATGTTTTTTCATCAAATTGTATAGTAAAATAGGTTCGTTTTGATTTTGAACAAAACAAACAAGTGACCATCAAAAGAAACAGTAAGAGCACTGTATCAACTACAATACTCGTAATCATTCAAAAATGCCAATTAAACGATCCCGGAGGTGGTGTTGATTTGACACATCCATCTCGACATGCGTAAGGGCTTGATAATTTCATGACATATTCATCAATCGACATTTCACCCAGTACTTGAAGACAATGAGATGACATCGATCGATTACAAATAAGTTGTACATATAAATGTCGATTGTTATGTGGCGACAGATAAACACTCCATGAAATAGGATTTTTTGTACCGTTCATATTTACCAAATAAGCATATTCGTGCAATCCAATGGTATAACTTGTATTACTAGTGTTATCAACTAAAAAGAAAAATAAAAAAAAATACTCAAAATTTTTAAAACAAACAAAAGTTTTATTTAGTACATCTTGATAATTATCTTCCGACAATTTGTAACATGGATTGTAAGACTAGACAAAATTATTTGTATAAATTGACATCTTATCTTTAAATATTGGTGTACCTCTCCTGCTATCAATGGATGATAAATCAATCATACCATATCGAGGATCATGATATTTGCATGCATCGTAATATATGGACTTTGTCGTCACTGGTGATGTTCCTATATAATTGAAAAATTAGAAGTTTCATTTGAATGGTTGTCATTATAAAACAAAAAAGAAAATCGTACTGTGAGTAGTGGAACTTGGCTCAAGTCTAACACATTCATTTCAGCAAGTACAGCGTGATCTTAAACGCATAGAATAACGATTAACAGCATATTCACCAAGTATTTCGAGTTTATCTTGAATAAGAGATAAACAAATCATTGTTATAGAAACTGCTTTTTCACCATAATTTACGTAAGAGCAAATGACATGTTTGAATCAATCGATCATGCAGAGACATTTTGTATAGCTAATATATACGAAAATTGTCGATCAGGTGACACCAACGATACAATATTAATGAATTCAATAATTTATTTAATTAAAAATTTCTTTGTGTATATACTTTGACAAACAGCTGCATTATAACAATGACTTTCTACAAATGGATAACATGGATTGAATGAATACGTATAATAAGAACCCGAAGGGGATGATAAATCACGATAGTGAGATTGACCATTTCTTAAACCAACCGATGCCAGATTAATAATACTTTTGGTTGGGTGTTCAAAACTACATGAACTATCTGCTGGTGTTGCACTACAGAAGCTGATGATTAGGAAGATATTAACGATTCGTATTTTATAATATATCATTTATTTTTAGAGCTTTTCAAAGGAAATAAATATATCCACTATATTAGTCTTATCGAACTATTTATCTTGGTATTGCACAAATCGTGATGATAATGACGTTATTTAGTTTGAATTTGCTTTACTGATAAGATAATTTATATTTAACCGAGGTAACTATTACTAATTATTAACAAAAAAAACAATGCGTTTTGTGTTCGTTGTCTTCAACTCTAATTTATGACCATCTATTGTGTTTTTATCTAATTTTTGTAAATAATAATGAATCTTTTATCTTTTTTTATTTAAAATTATTAGTAAAAAACTACTGATCAAAGAAATAAATTAGTAGTTCGAGACAATATTTTACTTATCTGCATTCAAGAGGTAATTGCAAAGTGACATTATGTACACCAATAATATATTTTACTTATACTATTTTTACAATTATATCTAGTTTGTCTTCAATATAATCTTCAAATCAATTACATTGACTTTAGCATCTATGATGGGTGTGGGTGTGGGTGTGGATCTGTAATAAAGAATCATATTGATACCCACATCCTTCTGAGAACGATCTATTTTGTTAAAATTAAGTGTAGATCTTGTAGTGAAACATTTCGGCGTTCTTTGACCTTTTGATATAAGGTTAGCCGTAAGGAGTATGTTAGTTAAATTTAAGTCTCTTATATTCAATGGTTGTTCGAGAATTGTTGTAGGGAATAGACTTTGGTGGGTTTATGGCTTATTGAATAGTTGGTGAACATGGATCGGAATGTTTTGGTGGAACATTGTCATGGTTACTTTCGACTTGTTTCATGTAACAGTAGTCAAGAAGTTGTATTTGCAGATTTTTGTTTTCACAAAATAAGACTCAAGGCGAACGTAATGTGAGTAATGATGTACCCAAGAAAAACTCTTATTTTTAGGTCATCGACTTAAAGAATAGTTAACCCATTCATTGAGTGAATACTCTATGGATCACTCACGAACGATCCAATGATTTCTTTCAACTTATCGTCTGTGGTTTGAGTTAAAGCTTCAGAATTAGTCAAAATTAGCATGTAAATTCACCCAACCAATTCAACTGAGACCTAGTCCATCCAAGAATGTGTGAGTGAGGTAAGAGTGTGGATGGATAAATAGGTGTCATTGAAGAGACGATCTAGATCCACACCCTATTTTTCCGTCCCTCTTTTTTGTGGTGCAACGTTAATGAGAGAAACAAAAACAATTCTACCAAATGAGGCAAAAGACTAATAGTGAATTAATGTGATAATAAAGTTAATAAAAAATATCAAATTTTTCAATACTCGAAAAACTATTGAATGGGTGTGGGTGAGTGTGGTGTGGGTGTGTGGGTGTGGGTGTGGCGTGCAGGTATGGGTGGGGGTGGGAGTGGGTGCGGGTGTGGATACACACAAGA